GTTCCAACTTCCTAAGTTTGGGTTCGGTAGTACAATTATTAAACACATATGATGACATTGATGATTGATTTTTGTTAAAATTTGGATCATCACAAAAGTAACAAAAATAATCTTAAATACAGTAGAGCATCGATTATCTAAATGCCAATCAACCAAAACATCAGTTAACCAAAGGCATTCCAGTCGGACTGTGTCGTGCTGAATCGAACATTTTTGATACTACATTAACTTCCTAAATATAATTTTTTTGTTTTTATATTTTTCAATATATTTACTTTGTACAAAATAAAGAAATAATTTTTAATGATACAATAGCCACAATTATTATAAAAATTTTCGTTAGGCTTAACATCGACGAAAATTCAATGCAAAGCAACATGCAACAAAGAAAAATTTAGACATAGAATATATTAATATACTATATTAATAATGTATTTTTTCGTACGTAATTAGTTATCTGAAAAATCGATTTTCTGAACAACCCCAGTACCCAATTGATTCGGATAATCGATGCTGTATTAAATTTTGAAAAGATTTTCTTCTGACTTCTAAGTAGATGGACATACTGTATCAGAATTGATGCAGTAGTTTATATTTTTGAACCACTCAGTATCAAATCCATTGATTCTAATTTGGATAATGCCATATTTATTAGGTTAAAAACCTCAGCTTATCTTTTAGTAGAAAATTTCTTTTCATTTGGAGTTGGTAATTCAAATAACTCAGTATTTTCTTCAGAATTTCGGAATGCCTCCAACTGAATAAGGTCATCATTGGTTAGTTCTTCATCATGGTTTAAAAAAAGTTCATCAATGTCACTGTTGTGAGTAACCGGGGGGGTCTTACCCCTTTACCGGAAACAGTTCGGTAAAAACTGTTCACTGTGTCAGTGGATGGCGTGTTTCGATTTTCCAATCCCATGATATCAGGATCAGTTTGTCAGGTCGAGTGGAAGAGGATGAGAGGGTTCGTTGGTAAGGCATATGCCAGGGGTAGGCAAGCAAAAGTTCAATGGGAGTCGAAATGTAGGTTTTGCAAAGTGCATGGGAGTTGCAGTTCTGTACTTTTTTATTTTGTACCGCAGTTCTGTACTGCGATTTTATTATGTAATATAAATATAATATAAAACAAATATTGAATTTTTTAAATAAACATATTTTCACAAAATTGTGGAAAAAAAATTGTAAAAATAACATAAAAAGCAGAAATTAACACTTTCAGCAAGAGCCACATGTAACTCAAAAAGTGCCACATTTGCCCATGTCTGGCATATGCGATATATGAGGAATAGACACCATTAACAAGAAAATCAAAAATTTAATGAATAACAATTAAACAATTACATAGACAGAAAATCAAATATTACGTTTAATAAGGCTAACTAAACTCTTGCATACAATTTTAGAGGGCCGAGAGAGAGTTTACACCGATTTCGATATCATACCTCTTTCCTATAAATTCTGAGGTCTGAACAGGGATCCTTTCTTGGAAACTTTTACACCAATTAATAGTTTCCACCCGACTACTATAAGGATCACTGATTACAATGTGACTGTGCCCAAGTTCAAACGTTCGGAGAGAGACTGCCACAGAGGGGATGTATTAGTCTTATATTCAGATCAGCCTGGAAAAATTGTCACGTGATTAGGTGTTGTCATAGACAAAAGTTGCTTTTGGTAGGTGAAGGGTCATAGATGTTCCTGGGACAATGAGAAGATGGTGAAATCGAATGCCAACTGTATTCTTTGATAACTGCAATGTTAGACCATGTTTGTATGGGCAAACGTTGACATTCTCGAAGGAGTATTATAAACTTTTAGCAGTTGTTGACAATAAGGATGACATTCTATCCCTTTTTCCAGCAATGTTATTTTAAATATCGTGTTAAAACATTAAGTTAAAATTTTGAGAAAATTAAGCAAAATATCCTTTAAAATTTCTGAATCTCACACTGTTATCCACTTCCAGTTCTAATTGCTGTGCCATATTCATGCACATCTCTGTAGCTGTGCATTTGTCGTTCTTTTTCAGTTAAATGCCTAAAATCATCAACGATTTCTGAGCAGAGTTTCATCCATTGTTGTTTGCTTGACTTCATCCCATGCCACCTAAATGTTTTTAATGGCATTGAGGATGTTGCAGTTCTTCCAGAAATCACATAGGGTTATTCCCTTACTGCTAACAATGGCCTTGATTGCTTGGGAAAACAGCAATCAAGATTTTTTAAGATTTATATTTTACATAACTGCAAATTTATGTAAGTCATGTGTTACATAACTCGGGGTATTACTGTAATTTAAATCCAAATGAACTTCTGTAAGTTGTTAGTCATAAATCATGGCCTGATTTTCTATGTATTTTAATCAAACTGATGCCTTGCTTTAAATTGATGATAATGAGCTTAGAGTAACAGTCACGTTTTGTAAGAAATACTATGTTATAAGGTATATTAATATGATGTTAATTATTCAGTATAATAAACCTTGCCATTCTGATCATTTGTTATGTATTAACTTAAAAAGAAGTTTCTTGTTTTGATTCTTTTCTTTTTTTAAGGATTATGTAAATTAGTATTATGGACTGACACAATTTATACATTCAGAATAATTGTTGTGTTCCTGTTTCAAATTATCACAAAATGCGATTCTAACTTAGCTAGCTTTTTTAAGAACACTGCAATAATGCAAATTATACTGTATTAGTTTCCAATAATGTTAATAAATATGAATTAAACAATGTTAAAAATAGAAATTAATAAAATATTTGTAATTTATTGTCTTATAGATTATTTAATATTTACAGTAAATTATTTTAAATTTATAAAACTTATGTAAACAGGAAGGTATCAACACTACATTTTCAAAAAGTATTTAAAACTGATAATTAATCAAATACAGTAAACTATTGTTAGCTTCAACTCTGTTTAGCATCACTTATCAGCAGAAATCCTATATTTCAGTGTACACTGAACTCTGCTTATGTAAAATATGATTTATAGTTATCAACAACTGTTTTTCTAGTGTAAAGTATGTAGACAGTGTACTAAATTATATTAGTTAACATCAACATCCTTTTCCATTTACCTGCTAAAATTCATATTATTCTTTTCATAAAGTTTCAACAAAATTAAGGATATTCAGCTGATTTTTATTTATTCAAAATTTTTGGCGATCTCTTCAGAAGCTTTAAAAAGTTTCACCTGATAACAGGCATATTATGAAAATACTGCACGTCCTTTTGTTGTACTTTTGTTTAAAGATTTCTATTTTTAAAATATGTACAAGTAATGAGGAACAAGAAAGCCATAGTGAATATAACAGATCCTACTTCAAAAGATGTTCTTCTTACTGTCAACTATCTTCACTGCTAAAATCAAACTCAAGAAAATTGAATATACACTTACATTGGTAAATTAATCAAATCTATATATATATATATATATATATAAATGGACACGTATGTCCCTATATTTCACTTTTCCGCAAAAACTACACATCGCACGTGAATGGTGTTTGTATGTGGTGGTAGCCCCCCAAGTCTCCATTCGTGCATAGGGGTGGTTGCGTCTCGATAGCTATAAGGGTGCGGGAGATATGAGACTGAAAGTGGTTGAAAGTGGCTTTCTATTTCGAATGTTTTGTTCGAATTTGTTCAAATTAAATTCGAACATAAAATTCGAATATTGGTTCGATTATAGAACGATTGTAAATGTTCCAGAAACGTTGAAAATAGTTCGTTTGACTTGACGTGAACAGGAGACGTTCAGAAATAGAATTGGGACTGGGAAGTGTTAATATAAAGCGGCATGCAAGATTTACAGGCGGTTTTTTGCGCTTTTGCGGGAAACCTAATTCTTGCATTTTGTGAAAATGGGTAAGATTGGCTATAATGTAATTATCTTAATCTTCACTATCGTTACTTTTTTAAAAACCCAGCGAAGCAGGTCCTTGCAGCTAGATTCTAGATTACTTAGAAAAACAGTCTTTTATATATATATAAAAACTATATTACATACAAATGTACGAACAAATAAAAACCCAGCGAAGCGGGTCCTTGCAGCAAGTTAGTTAATATAATGTCTCCTCGATCTCTGAATCAGACCCCTTATGCGTGTTAATCCGCGTATCTAAATTCGATTAACTGGTATCTAGGAATCCTGACAGAAGGAAAAGGGTGATTACACGATCATCTAATTCCGATTTAAATTAACTTGTTAGTTGAAGCCCTCCACACTCGTTTCCCTAAGTTCGGGAAAAGGCCATTCTTAAGGACGACCGAGAACTATTCTCACGGAATAGATTGCTGATTAAGTGGTACTAGCTATCTTAGTAGATAAATACCCCCGGCTGATCTCACACTATATTCCAAAAGCTTCCAGAAATAAATCTTTAGGCCATCAAAACCATTGTACGGCAATTAATGACAATCCTTTTACATTTCGATATTTAATTTGTCAAAGAAACGATATCTGTTTTTATCTAAAGTTATCAACAAACAAAGCTTCCACCACTCGAATTGAAAAGCCCTCTAAACCTCCTGTCGAATGAGTCTAGAAAATAGGTCAAATAACTTGTACATTAATAAAACCATACATAAGAAATTATGTCAATTTTCATAAGAGGTTTCTTTAAAAAAAATTTTTTTAGTCCGTCTTGTTACATGTATCTAAAGTTTATTTTGGTGTTTTTCTACAATTGTATAAATAAAAACTTTATCTAAGAATAGAAATTGTAGTCTTATCTATCATTATAGATTTAGGAAAATATTACAATATCTATGCAGTATAGCATCCTTTGAGACCAGAATTGCACAATACTCACTAAATTCAGAGAATGACACGAATGAGAATTACTGTGAATACTTCTAATAAACTTAAAGAATATGACTGTTGATGATATCAGATTTTTGTGGCATAATGTACTTTGTATATTATCATTCTTTCACTTGTTTTAGCAAATATTTTCTAAATATTCTATAAAACAAGAAAAATAAAAACTTACTGATTGGTTTTTTGCTTTGAGGTGGCGGTGGAGGCGGCATAGGTCTCGTTGGAAGATGTGGGCTTTGTTTAACTCCTTCACTTATAGAACTAGATCTGCTTGTAGGAGATTCATTGCCTACTACACTGGATGGTCGTGAACGACAACGCCTTTCAGGTGTAATTTGGCCACCCTAAAATTGAAAACTTTATAATAAATTTATCAAAAAACATATATTAATTCAAATAAAGTTTTTTTTAAAAATCACAAAATATAACAAAAATAAACTTTATGAAACTAGAAATTATTACTATTTTTTTTTAATAATGATATTTGAGTTTTATTTAAGAAATTTAAACATTTCAATATTTATAGTATTTTATAATGTTTAATTACCAGTTAAATTTTAATAAATAAATAATACCTAATTTATTAAATGTTAAAAATGCAAAAAACAGTTTAATATAAAATAATAAAGCCCAATTTTCTAATGTCTAAATATCTACAAGCTGAAATTTCAGGCATTTATTAGACTAATTAATAATTAATTTAATCAATTAAACTAATTTGATGGAAGTTACTTCTCACCTGGTACTGGTCCAATTTACTTAATATAAACACACATAAAAACCTTTACTTGACCAGTAAAGGTTTTTATGTGTGTTTATACTAACCTTATAACCTTTATACTAACCAGTAAAGGTTTTTATGTGTGTTTATACTAACCTTATAACCTTTATACTAACCAGTAAAGGTTTTTATGTGTGTTTATACTAACCTTACACACATAAAAACCTTTACTGGTCAAGTAAAGGTTTTTATGTGTGTTTATACTAATTTGATGGGTAAGTTAGGTGGTTAGGATGCACCTTGTGTTAACATTAATTATAAATTAATTTTTGTCAGTAGTGTGTTAGGCATAAATATATTCAGTTGAATCCTGTTTATACATTTTTCATAGAAACTGAGAAAAATATTGTATAAGTGAGAAAAACATACAAGTAAAACTACTTTTGAATTTCTTTTAGAGTGAATATAATTGTCACAAAAGTATGATCTGGCACAAATTAATACTGTACAACTGAATAAGAACATGTAATTCTTAACAAATAAGTTTCATATTACTATGTTTATAATACATTTGAATAACATAAAAGGAAAAGTATGACAGTGTAAAATTAAGCTCTTTACTTTGAGAAAAATTGATTGAGTTTTATTTGTTCTACATGGACTTGTTTCCATCTACCAAAACTCCAGTCACTTGAAAGAATGAATAGTCATTCTAAAGCCATGGTTCCCAAACTTCTTATGCCCACAGATCCCTTCTCACAGCAAAAACCCGACCATAAACCCCCAAGTGTAATAACTTTACAAACTACATAATAGCAAAATTACAAATTTTACTTTGATGTCTTAATGGTGAATGGTGATGTAAAAATAAAATATAAATAAAACATTTTGATATTTAAAGTACAGTGGAACCTCTACATTATATTCATCACATTTTGATGACCCCCCCATATTCGTTAGTATTTTCTGTATTCGTCAGCATTCCTAACATTAGCAGTGATGCTACAATTGCAAGCCTGCACTAATCAGCTAGCCATGTTATTGTTGCCAATTAAGCTAATTTTTTGTTAGATTTAGTAGATTTATGAACAATCTAGCTATGCATGTTGTTGTTAATTGTCTACTTGGACTTTACTTATTAATAGGACTTAATACTGGTGTTTAAAGATTGGCACAGCAATGAGAGTTAGTTCAGGAAAGAACAAAATTTCTTTATTATATCACCTGTAGTAATAATTTCTGTACACATATTATATGTGTTTCAGGCTAGCATGCCCCTCATCAGCAGTACTACTACCATACACTAAAAAGGTAACAACAATAAAACAAATAAGTTTTATTGTTTGTTACCTTTTTAGTGTATGGTATATGGTTAAATAAGTTTTATTTGTTTTATTGTTGTTACCTTTTTAGTGTATAGTAGTAGTACTGCTGATGAGGGGCATGCTAGCCCGAAACACGTATAATATGTGTACAGAAATTATTACTACAGGTGATATAATAAAGAAATTTTGTTCTTTCCTGAACTAACTCTCATTGCTGTGCCAATCTTTAAACACCAGTATTAAGTCCTATTAATAAGTAAAGTCCAAGTAGACAATTAACAATAACAT